CCCCCCCCCCCCCCCCCCCCCCCCGCCTCGTGGACTCGAACCCTTCGGTAAACAACTACAGACGAACCCTGGACGCACCGCCGTGATGAGTCTTGACCACATAATGTTCAGACAAGTGTCAGAAAAAAGGATCTCTCATCCATAACCACAGCAGTGATTCCCCCCCCGCCACCACACTTGGTTACCACTCCAAGACAGAAGGGAACCCCCTTGCACTTTGAGATGTCGTTTCCTTCGCGCCAAACAACGAGTCACTCGCGGGTGTGTACCTCACAAGCCAACAACGGGGGGGGGNGTACCTCCACCTCTGGTCCGATGCTGGCAACGGTCACCAAGGCCCCGGCCCTCACGAGGGTGTCGATGATGGTCACGCTCTCAATTTCCTCGCTGCCGTCCGCCACCGGCACCAGCACGTGCTTCGCCCCCGCCGACTCCGCCGCCGCCATCGCCGCCTCCGCCGGGCCGCCTACCGACGAGAACATGAGGGTTGCCGGGGAGCCCGTTATACTTCGCTCTGTTGGCGGCCGCGCGGTTGTTGCCGCCGACGCCGTGTGACGGCCAAGGTGGTGGTGACGGCGGGCGAAGGCGGTGGTGGTGGTGGCGAACCCCCGACCAGTAGCAGCCGTTACCAACGCTTGGGCTCTGGGTAGAGACCCTCTGAGCGACACCAAACACGCCATCGTCGCTACAACTGCTTTCGCTGTTTTTGTTGTTGTTCGTTGTTGTTCGAATGTGGTGTGTAGACGGCCGGAGGGTGCACAGGCGTGGTGAAGGTAGTGCACAACACATGTGGTGAGTGTACCACCCCCGGGGGCAGACAGAGCAAGAGAGACAACGGACAGAGAGGCATAGTGGGCGGGAGGGAGGGGCAGAGAGATCCAACAGCAAAGCGAAACGCGGATTGTTAAAGGGATCACGATTTGCGATGTGTAGTGGTGCATACCTGGGACCCAGGCCAGGGACCGTCCGCTTCCAGTCGGCGGGGACAGAAGGAGATAGCACAAAAATCCTGTGAGTCCTAAGAGAAGCCCCAATGCGCCGGCGTACTTTTCGCGGCCTTCTTTCCCGTTGCCAGAGAGGTTGTCAACACGCATCAATACACACAACATCATACGCACGCGATGTGATGTTTCGGGTCATAAGCACAAGAGAGATTACAAAAGTGCCATGCCCACACGGCTTGCGATGACTGCTTTCTGCCGTTACTGGAGACTACATGTTGATAGAACTCACTGTCGATTAGGCGATGATCCACACCAGTCACTACAACTTAAGGATGACAAGCGGGATAAGTGAGGTACAGTGGCGGCTATGGTTTAAAAGAGGGTCGTGACAAGCCAGCATGCCTCTCTTAAATCCGGTTTTCTCTTAAACCGTGCTGTGAAATGTATGTATTTCTCATGGTCGTGACAAGCCAGTTTGACTCTCTTAACCCCCTTAACACGCACAGAAAATTCGGCATTCTTGCGAAATTTCTGAACTGTAAGAAAAAGAGCGAACGTCGCCTGCTGATTGGATGGTGCAGACAGTTCCATCCCTGGGTGCAAGTGCAAAGCTGCCTTCCCACTTGAGCCGTCTCTTGTCAATAATCCCTATCAAATGTCCCCTCGATCGAGGGGACATTTGATAGGGATTATAGACAGCAACTGGCGGGAGCGTGGTAAACGGGGCACGAAAAGGAGGTTTTCAAGATATGTCTCTAGAGGGAAAGCGAGACCTTCCAACCCAAGCCCTAGGTTGCCCGGTGCCTCCTATCAACGGTTGGCTGGGTACTTCTTCCGCGCTTGCCCCTAGTAGCGCTTTCCACCCAAGGGTAGANGTCTCTAGAGGGAAAGCGAGACCTTCCAACCCAAGCCCTAGGTTGCCCGGTGCCTCCTATCAACGGTTGGCTGGGTACTTCTTCCGCGCTTGCCCCTAGTAGCGCTTTCCACCCAAGGGTAGACAGACGCGGCGCAATTCACTGTTGAACCCGCGGCGTAATCGCCCCCCGATTCGACCTGTTCATTACCCTCATACTCCTCCACTCTACAAAGCATCCATACTAAACTAGAGTCGTACCCGTGTACCCTGGCACCCCCCTGGCCGAGTAGTTCAAAGGAGGAGACAATCGTGTCATTCTTCGCGAGTTAAAGCAGGTGGAAGATGGGGACAAAAAGTGTCCCCAAAAGGCGATCTAGCCCTAAAGGTAGGTACCAAATCCGTCTTGCTGCCAGCCAGCGATATCATGTATTTGCAGTTCCGGAACGACTCCTAGCTTGGCCTTGGCAGGGTAGACTACGCATATGCACGCACTACATGCACAGAGGGGAATAGCAGGCCGCCGGTAGGTGTGGGACACAGAGTGTGGCATGACGGAGTATAATCAGTGGTATGATACTGAGTGATATCATATAGTCGTATGTTCAACACCTCAACGGATATCAGCAACGTACGGGGAGCGCAAGACTTTACCTGTCATTCCTTCCGGGCGATGAGATGGTGTGATGACAAGCGCACGCGTGCTGACCAAGACGAGATCGTGAACAAGCTGGCTGGAACATATGATGGGGGTTACGCAGATTGTTTTGCAACAACACAACGAAGAGGGAACGGGGCATTTCCGAAACCGTCCTACGTGGGCGGGACATCAACGGGATGATCCGTGACGGTTCGATGCACGAAAAGTAGGAGAAGGCGACGAGCGAGAACAACTCATCGTGTTGTCCCTCATTTGTCCCATATTCGAAAGAGAGGGTGAAGAGCAGCAAAGCGTTTTGGGGGGCTGTTCGGGGCTATCCCTCTCGCTGGTGACCTGATGTATTCCGACGCGCGTACCCATATAGCGTGAGATATTCAGTGGGAACAAGGGACACGCTTAGCGTGTGTGTTACATGCAGGCTGTTTCGTTGGTCATCCCAAGCTCTACGTCCAGTGAGATCAACGTTGGCTGTTGGCGCAAACGCGTATCTTCCCGTAAGGGTAGGATGCGCAATGCATACAGGAGAAAGTTGGAGCCGCCACTAGGGCCGAGCGTGCTCGCTGCTCGCAACAAGGAGATGAAGACAAGGTTGTCTTCTTCGTCGTTGGTCCTAGGCGATGCGGGCCCCGAGACAAGGGACTGGAGTCTCTCGAGCACGCAGCAGTGGCCGGATGCCGGAGCACTAGATGCATCCCAGCGAGAAAACAATTTGGCAATGAAAAAAGGTGTCGCAACAACGTCGTGGGCAGTTTGTTCTTAATTAACCGTGCGAGGTTGCTGCGGGATACTTGTAATTTGGAGCTGTGCACTCTGATATGTATGGTGGGTCATCTTGTCGAGGCACTTCTTGTTACCAGACTCTCGAAATGATGGGGAGTTGAATCGTTTCCACAAACGGGTGGTGGGGATGGAACTTATACTCCTAAGTTGGGGTGCCACGGACGGGAGGTTTTCGGTGACGGAAACCGGCTTAGGTTGTACTTTGGAAGGAAATTGAAGGTGACGGCAAACAAATGCATGGGACGAAAGGACAACGAAATACACTGAAAGGGTGGTCACCTCTTCACGCGAATGAGTCTCCACACGTGAATGATGTCGTCGCCATATCTTCACACCCTGTCCCCGGTCGCCCTCGCTGAACGAGATTTCGGGCCTTGTCTACTCATCACCGCACGCACCACTCCTATTTTGCAGCGTTACAAACAGATCAAATTGTGCTAGGGGAAGATCGCGCCGAGTGGGGATCGTCAAACACCATGCCGGCGCCAACTGGAGATGTTTCTCGCTATAGGGGGAGGCTTAGTACCGAGACTGCAAACTTTATCAAGACCTCCAGGTGGGCGCAGTTTTCAGTAAACCTTGAAGCACAGCCCAGGTCACGTGAAAAACCCCAACCCACGTAAGGCGACCGTGGACTCAACGTCTTCTCGTTTTGAGTCACGGCGGGTCACACCACTTGAAAACATTGGAGAAGTTCAAAAAGGTTGAATCAGTATCTGGTTATGCGAAAAGATCACTAGCCCCCAATAATGCCCTTTTCAAACCTCAACAACACCTGTTTGTGGAACAACTTTGAAGCGCCCGCTCGGTTGGCCAGCACGCAACGGTTCGGTTAATTGCGCAGCAGACGCGCCTCCCAGAAACTCGGTCGCTCAATCTAGACAACATTTGGTTTCAAGGGGTTATATCCCTGGATGAGGCTGCTGCTGATTTTTTCTTGTATGAGGCACCGAATCATTATTGCGCTTTTCCTGAATGAATAAAAGCTGCGCAGGTACCTCGCTGGGCGCACTACCGTGTACCGACGCAACCCTCCCCCCCCCTCTCCGAACCCCTCCGAACCCCTTCTCAAGCTTGAAAATGGGGTCGTCACACCCGGGCTCTCAATTCACGACATCCATGTCAAGAGAAGGGTTGAAGGTTCCCGACTACGACGCCTCGGTCGAGTTCTTCAAGAGCAACAGATCTCTCCGCAACAGGCTACGCGAAGGTGACGCGTTGACCACGGCTCCAAATCTACGAGCGTTTAATCTAGGTGCCGTCAATTATCCCACACACCAGCTGCGCGTCTGCTCGTTTCGATTACAGTCGAGGGACCTTTATAGTGCCGGACACAGATGGAGCCCTCAATAGTGCCATACCGGCGCTATTGTGAGCATGCCCGGTATAGTGCCGGTTGGGCGCCACTGTCACCCTCAATAGTGCCGGTTCATCCCCCCGCGCGCACACACACAGCACACACACACAGACAACCAGGCAGAGGACAGACTCTAGACAGAGGCGTAGGGTACAGGTTCTGCTGCAGACCAGAACAGCTCTACGCAGGGGCGTACCATGCCATGTGCGGAAGGTGAACTGTGCGCTCAACAGGATAAGACGCCGCAGGCCCCACAAGGCCACCCTTGCAAGGGAGGATGTGGCGGGCGGCTCCACGGCAATTGAGGCAGCATGTTTGGCGACAACGAACAGCACCGCATCTGCAGTGCGTGCGTCGCCAAGGACGGCAAGCGCAAGGCGCCAGCAGCTGACACCGGTGGAAGGGGACAATCTAAACGCCCGAAGGTCACGAATGGGGGGAGTAAGAAGTCTCAGCCTTCTCGTAAGGAGCCTCGTGCGCGGCCGGATTTGGACACCAAGCTTGAGATGCTGAAGCTCATGGATGCCAAGGCCACTCATGAGCAGATAGAGGGCCACCAACATGGTTGATACCTTCACTTCGAGCAGCTCCTTCCTGTAGTTGCACTTCGTCTTGGCTATGATCCCCATGTCCATGGGCTGGTGTACGGAGGTGCACAGCGGAGGGTAGAACTTGGTGGTAACTTGCCCCCAACAGACCGACACGTTCCGCAAGTGGTGGCGTGACGTCTTCCTCCCGTTCGTTCGGTGCTTCACTCACGAACCTGTGCTGCTGCTGATGGACGGCCGTTCGTCTCACGGTGATCTAGTGGATGATCGGGGGCAAGTTACCACCAAGTTCTACCCTCCGCTGTGCACCTCCGTACACCAGCCCATGGACATGGGGATCATAGCCAAGACGAAGTGCAACTACAGGAAGGAGCTGCTCGACATGAAGGTATCAACCATGTTGGTGGCCGACACCCTTCGTGCCGAGGCCAAAAACCGCAAAATGAAGGCCGGGACAATGGGGCTGGCGGAAGGGCACCAACCTCACGTGCGGGATGCCGCTGAACTTCTCGAGAAAGCATGGGCCAACGTCACGGCCCAGGACATCGCCAGTTGAGGTTTGAACATGTGCTATCGCTGTTGTAAATTTGGATGTCCAACTCGCGCATTGGTGCACATAGCTTTGGTGGTTCGTTACGTGGGTAGGGTTGTGTACGTATAGAATATATTATTTCGACGGAGTATTCCACATCCTGGCATCCCCGTTGACTCTTCGCTTAAAAAGGGTTACGCCGCTCGCATGCCGATGAGTCATTGATCGTTACTGGGTTTGTCTAACACCTGTTTGTCCATTAACGAATGCATTACGTTTTCTGCGCCACCTAGGACCAGGTGCTTTGTCAAAGCCAACACGCTTCCGGAGGAGATGGCGACTGAGCTCACCAATCAACATGAAAAGGCCCGGTTCCAGATCGCCGAGCCTGACTTGAAGGCTCTCACGGAGACTGTCAACAAGTTGAGCACGAGCGTGCATGAGGCGTAGCAGCAGGGATCCCGAATCGAAGACGAGGACATCGCCGAACTGCTGGCAGAACTCCGCATCGAACTCGGAAAGCGGATCGAGGAGGAAGCGGTGAACGCGATTCAGGGGTGGGCTACTATCGAGGACGATGATGAAGTCGTTGAGGCTATCAGACTGGATACGGTGGACGACATGACGGCACAGCTGAATGGGGTGCACGTGTCTGCCGGCCGCGAGGAGGAGGACGAACAGGAGGAGGACAGGGGCGATGAGGACACGGGGCGTGTGCGCCGTGCCCCACCGGCGTATGGTGAACTGTCGTCTTACTTCGGCGTCCTGGAAGCGGCAGCAGAGGAGAGTGGCAACGGAGAAGCGGCGCTTTATCTAGCGAAAGCGAAGATGGCGATGATAGTAGTGCATTCCGCTACGCGGGTGCGCCAGGCGGACATGAGAGAAATTGTCGCGACGTAGCGAGGATGCGGGTACAGCTGTAGCAGTGGTTGTTTTCTTGCGGTGCGTTGCCTGTTTTTTTTTTGTATTGTTTTTTGTTGCAACATCGAACGGGGTGCGCCAGGTAGACACGAGAGAATTTTGTCGCGACGCAGCAAGGGCGGGGGTTACAGCTGTAGTTGTGTGTGTGTGTGTGTGTGTGTGTGTGTGTTTTTTTTTTTGGTGCGCTTTAAATTGTTTTGTTTCTTGATTTTCATTTTTCAACATCGAAGGAGGGCAANTTGCCTGTTTTTTTTTTGTATTGTTTTTTGTTGCAACATCGAACGGGGTGCGCCAGGTAGACACGAGAGAATTTTGTCGCGACGCAGCAAGGGCGGGGGTTACAGCTGTAGTTGTGTGTGTGTGTGTGTGTGTGTGTGTGTGTGTGTGTTTTTTTTTTTGGTGCGCTTTAAATTGTTTTGTTTCTTGATTTTCATTTTTCAACATCGAAGGAGGGCAACAAAGGGTGAAATTTTGCTTTGTACGAACGAGGGCTTTTGAAGCAGTTTGTGCCGGTCACAGCCTACTCGGGTGCATGATGTGTGTTTCCCTTTCGCCATCGACTAGTCTTGGTAAGGCACTGCTGTAGCCCGAAATGCAACGATCTTATTTTACAAAACTCTTGTGGGCTCGACAGGGTGAAACCTCACGTGTCGCGGGAAAGAAAGTCTGCCCAGGCCTACACTAGAACTTCACATAACAGCAGTGTCGATCCATTTCGTACTACAGTACTGACCTGGCCCCGCAAGCGTGAGCGTTACACCATAAATCGCACACGTTCTCATTAGTGCCAAACGGCTCTAATGAGGGATTGGCTAGCCCTCAATAGTGCCGTTTTGGCATTATTCGCAATAGTGCCGGGTGCCCGGTTTAGTGCCGGTGAAATCTCTCGACACATACCGGCACTATAAAGTCCCTCGACCGTAGCTTGCTGTGTCATCGCCAACCCACAACATGCTGCATAGTGGCTGAAAATAGCATTTTTTTACGCTGTAGGTCATGATACAGCAAGTGGAGAAACGCCTTGTCCGTACCATTACCGCTCAGGCACCTGAACCACTAGGGGGAAGCAAGGGGTTTACCTCCCAAGAATTTTTTAGGTTCTTACGCATTCTGTTCACCAAGCTTCTCGCTGGCAAGAAGAAGCATGTCACGACATTGGAGGTGGTTCCACGAGAAATAGGAACTGGGATCCATCTTCCCCATGATGTGTCGTCGGTGTGGTAAAGCCCAGAAAACCAGCCTGAAGCGAGCGCGCCCTCCCCCCCCCTGCCCCCCTTCACCAGCGGGACGAACAACACGAGTAATCGATCCCGATGGGGAGGGTGGGCGGTACGAGAGCAGCAACATCATGCCCGATCTGAGAAGCCGGATGCGTGAGGCCAATTCTTCGCCGGAAGCAAACCGGGAACTGATGCTGAGAATCCGGCGTTCGAACGTCCAGCTCGGGGACGGCCGGATCAAGGTGATGGGATGGAACGGGATGAAGACGTACGTGTTGTTTTCACAGTATTCAGCTCTTTCTGTGTTTGGGGCCGTTGGCAGTACAACTGTTGCCTTTCCATACGTGGACTTGACGCACACTCAATCCTGGACCCCCTTTTCGAAGCCGTGTAAAAGCACGAGGACTTCCTCACATCAGAAGGTTTAGAAGGATGAAAAATCGGACCCTGAACGCGCTTTGTTGTGTTTGTCCTCGCCTCTCGAAGGGGGCTATACTATAACGCGTCATCTCTCGTGCTCTCGCCGCCTGCTGGCTATGGCAACGCTTGGTGCACGATCGAATGCTGTGGTCGTGTTCCGCCCGGTATCCCTGGACCGCGGCAGCTGCGATGGATCGTCAAAGAAGTGTGTTTGGTCGTCCTGCGGTCCTGCGGGCTGGTTCTATCCTCGGTTGACTCTGCCGATCACAAACCTTGTTCTCCCTGTTTTTTCCAGAGACGACTTGTCGTGAAAACGCTGGGAACGGCAATATTTTGCTAGTTGAAGAGACAACACCCATGCCCGCCCCTGATTCCTCTCATTGTTGTTCGTTTGTTCCTACCTTCCTCCTTTGGTTGATGTACATGCCTTGACTCGCAGACGCTGACAACATCCCAACACGACTCGATGGAAGAGATAGTGGAGGCGACGAGCAAGATGGAGCCCGGCTTCAACGCGAGAACCAAGCAGGACCCTCGATTCTCGAGTATCGAACTCGGAGATCCAGCCGCGGAGAACCTTGTACGTGCGGCCACCGCTTGAAGAATTGTAGATCCCACCAAAATTGCGTGTGTACTTATGGATGAATATTTTAGGAAGGCGAAGAATGAGAACGTTGATATGGATACCTGTGACGTTCTTTGTGAGCTGAGAACGTTGGGAGAGAAAGCTATCAAACGACAAGTGGGTGCACTGCGGCAGCAACGGAAAACTGAACGGCCGCGATCTGGCAGAATGGCCTGCGGTGATTTCAGCGCGGGGAAAACTCACGCACGCATAACGGCGCGCCCAACTCTTGTCGCTAGACGCGTCAGGACGTTCACGCGCCTTACGCGTGAAACCTAGAGTTCTTGCTCTGCACGAGCACAGTATGTGGAGGCGGGCCAGTTCCAACAGAACGCCCAATAGAACAGCCTCTCTGTCTCATATTTCGCTCTGTCTCTTATTCCCCCCTGTTCCTCCCCCCTCTCCTGTCCCTTTCTCTCTCGTTGCAAGTGGACAACTTCCAACAGGATGCCAAACTGGTACGCTCCTGAAACGTACGCGAGACAAACGACCCCGAACTTCTAAAAACAGAAAAATATTCTGAGGTATCGTGTGGCCTCGTTGATTCTTTGCTGCCCGCTGCACGCGACTGGACCATGGGTGACGACTGAGGGGAAGCAAACCCTCTCTGAGCAATGCCAGGAGTAGACAAACTAATGACTCGAAGCAACAATCGAGCTTTGATGCCGACTAGCGGCGGACACACCCGGTCGTATGGCGATTTTTTTTTCGAAGGGTGGGCATTCGAACGATAAACTCTGGATGGTGTTCTTAAATGTTGTCCAGAGCGCGGCGGTGCGACTGCGTAATTGTTTCATTTGAACTAGGTGAAAGGCGACGTCAGAGTAACAGCAACACCGACACCAAAACTACAGCTACTGTACCGCACCACCAACGCCATAAACTGGAACAGCAGTAGCATCGCAGAAAGACCAGAAACTCCTCCTTGTGACACGACCCAGATGGAAGATAGTACACGACAGAAAGGAACGGCCACGAGGGACAGGCTGCTGAGCACGCGAACGCCGGTAGTTGTTAGTTTTTTGTGGTTCATGTTCGCCCTGCTTCACGTTCTTGGAGAAAAAATCTTGGTCAGAAGGGCAAGGAGAGGCCGTCGTGCCAAGGCTGTCGGAGCTGCATGCTCTTCTTGGCGTTGCGCTTGTTCCAACCGACACGAATTCTCTCGCACGTCTCCTGCCCGATAGCGTTTCTTCGTAAACTTCAGGGGGGGGGGGAGGGGGGTGAGGGGGGGGGGGGCGGGGGGCGGGCGGAAATAAGTTCAGGAATCGTTCCCGCAGCAATCATTCACTCCTCCGCTACATTTCAGCTTTGTGTTTTTGGTGTAAACTTACCTGTCCTTTCAGAGGTAAAAGACGGCTGAAATAACAAAATGGCACCCGGTGGTCGCACTTACTTTATTTACCCTTGCGTGCTCAACGACCGATTGGTTGTGGGCGACTCACTGAAGGTGTCTCAATGATCCGTTCCGCACGAGACCCTCTGCGATGGCCACCCCTCCGTCGTCACCGATGCTGTTGGACCCTAGGCTGCTTTCGTCCATTCATTCATCACGCAGTTAATGACGAAAACGCCCGACAAAGAAGAGGAACAAAAACTCCTCGTTACTGAGAAAACATGGAGAGGTTTATAAAGAGAGGCAGCAGATGCCAGAGAGAAACAGGCCTTAATGTGTTTCTATTGTGTTCCCCCTTCGGTTCGTTCGCCGAAAAGGGCGCGAGGTGCTCCTTTGAACGGTAGTGCTCCCAATATATCGTGTCGGCGGACATGTGTGTGCACTAAATAGAACGTTGGCGTTTGTCCAGGGGAGATGAATCATCCTGGCTCTGCCGGTTTTCCCGGAACAATCAGCCAACAACCAACCACTCAACCGTTCCATTTCATACGATTCGACTTCAATCGACCAAATACCGGTGCCGTAACCCCCACGAGCGCCCGTACTTCTTCTCCGATCGAACCGACCACGTTTAACCAAACATTTCATCGTGCGGTCATCACTCACTCGAGATACACCAGCGTCGTGTTTTCCGACAACGCACCCGCCAGAGCACCGGCACCGCTACTCCCAACACAGTTGGTGCCTAACCTGGTCGGGCAACGGGTGCGGGAGGGGGTCCGGGCGCGTAAAAACATTCGTTAATAGAAACACTGGTGGATCGTCGAGAATGGAAGACTCCATCTACCTGCCTATTCACCATTTCTCCTGTATGCAGCAATGGCGCGCGTCATGGCCAATGCCCAGCCTGTGTTTTTTCGGGGCGCCATTTCTTCCGCTTTTGGTTTACCCTTGCGGACGAAGAACACTTTAGCGGTCAAACAGTTATTAATATAGACAAAAAGAGAGGTGCTCCCCTCACATTAACTCCCGCACTACGAAGTTCCCTCGCAGTGCGTCCGCCAAAGCGGCGGAACCCCGGGCCCCGACGGCGTTGTTCTTGAGGCTGCCAATTTTTTATATGTTTCGTCAATATGCGAGGTCGACAGCACGCGTCGCGCACAGCGCATAAAATGAACAAGTCACGTCACACGAGAACAGCTGAAACGAAGACAACGTTTTTATCTCTATTGCTTGTAGTACGCCGCACTCGACATAGACACACAGCGTGTAACATCGAGTCGATTAAAACAAACACGAAGTACTTGTCCGTGAGCGTGGTCGGATGAGACCGAAACAGCAAACGAGAACTGATCGTCAGGCATGCAGTTAACGACATGAAACGGGGCAGCAATCATGACTAATACTATCAGTCATACTCCTAGTACTACACTCTTACAGTCATACCCCTCGTACCGCACACACTGACCAACATGTTTCGCGACCGTGGGCGACAAAGCCTGGAAAAAAGGATGCCGAGAGAGTTCCACGGGCCCAATCACAAACCTTAAAACCAGACAACTACTGCCCCAGCAAACACGAGCAACGATGAGGGCAGAGGGATCGAGCCCGTTCAACTCGCTCACTTGAGGTGGCTCAAGGTCGGGTGCAAACGCACCGCGCAAGCAATCGCCGCAGCTCCGTTCTCACCGATGGCGCAGTACGCGAGGCTGGACGACGACAGATATCAATACCCCCAATCCCGGTGTTGCAGGGTGGGGAATAGGAGCGCGGGGCATGGGAGTGGTGGCAGAGGATGAAGGGGAAAAACATGTAAGCTCAAGGATGACATGTTGGATGGCAAGCCCAAGATTCGCGAAGAATGCACCGTGGATGCTGGAGTAGGGTGTGATCTACGCGAATTTGGATGGTGCGCAGGATACACGAGACCAGAAAATCAAAGGAGAGATTGTCCATCTTATCCTACGTAAAACCAAAACTGTCTTGAAGGAACGACTCTGGTGAAATCTTAGGGGAGGGCGGCAAGCGGCACACTACATGCATGTGGAGACTTACTCCAATCGCTGTAAGGTGTTGTTCCAACCCAGTCCCGATGCCAAGCGCTCAGCCCCGACATCACGGAAGC